CCACAACCTCGACCTGCTGGGCTCTGCGATCCTTCCTCCTCAGCCTTCCGAGTAGCCGGAATTACAGGCATGTGCTACCACACCCGGCTGATTTTTTAATTTATTGTAGAGATGAGGTCTCGCCGCCCAGGCGGGTCACGAACCCGCGGGCTCAGGCAATTCACACTCACCTCAGCCTTCCAAAGGCGCGGGTATATGTATTTCTAACGTACAAAATCAGAGTAACTACCTTTGTGTGTGTTAGATTAGTCTTCTAAAATGATCTTTGGTGAGTCACTAAATCAGAGCCCTCATCAAAATGTCAAGTTTGGTTAAAAGATAATTTTTGGTGGTAAGTTAAGGAAAGTTGGTCTGAAGACTGATTCTCCAAGGTTGCTCGCTTGAATAACAAATGATTTGTGCTCTGAATATTTATCTTCAGAACAGAATTATTAAGATTAATCTTTACAGGAAGGGGTTGGTTCTCTGGTATGTGCTGAATATATTTCAACTTATATAATACCCTTAAAATTAAAAAAAAAATTATTTATTTTTTGAGTCGGATTCTCAGTCTGTCACCTCCACCCGCAGGCTTCCACCCGCTGGGCTCAGGCGATCCTTCTGCCTCAGCCTTCCAAGTAGCTGGGACTATAGACACGCACCATCATGTCCAGCTAATTTTTTGGTTTATTGTAGAGTCGAGGTGTGGCCGTGTTGACCAGGATGGCCTCGAACCCCTGGGCTCAGGCTATCCTCTCACCTTGGTCTCCCAGAGTACTGGGATTAGAGGTGTGAGTCACTGTGCCCAGCCCTACAAAATCGTTTTATATCGAGAAACACTTTGTTCCCTAAAATAGAATAAATGTTCCTAATATATAATGTATTAAAAATACACTTTAGAGATGGGAACAAAGGTATACACTTTCTGTTGCAGATTAACATTTGTTGAGGGAGTTCCATCGCTTGGGGGATGGATCCTCCAATGAAGTGTTGTGGGACAATCCCTTCGGTCCCGTCCCCCTGTGAAAAGCATTTCTGTCTTCTCGATAAATCCTGATTTCTCAAAAAGAAAAAAAAAGCAAGTGTTGTAATAGCAAGATTACTAACTTGATCCCCTAGTTTTTAGATGGGCCATATTAAATGTGACTTAAATGTGGTTTTTGACCAAGCAGGGTGGCTCACGTCTGTAATCCCAACACTGTGGGAGGTGGAGGTGAGAGGATTGCCTGATTCCAGGGTTTCAAGACCAGCCTGGGCAATTTGCTGAGACCTTGTCTATAATAAATAAAAATTAGCTGGGCGTGGTGGCGCATGCCTCTAGTTCCAGCTGCTTGTAAGATCACTTGCAGTGGCCGTGAGCATGCACTCCAGCCTGGGCAGCAGAGTGAGACTCAGACTAAAAAAAAAAAAAAAAAAAGTGGTTTTGTTCAGAAACAACATCTAGTGTAATGTAGCTTTCAGTGAGATAGCAGCCAATTTTAAGTGAATTCCTCAAATGCTAGCATTCTGCTATAGGCTCATGGCAGAGTGTCCTTTTAACTTACAATATCTGTTCAAATTTAGATTGTGGTAATTTCTCAAACTTGAAATTAAACTTTAGTTTCTTGCATTCTTGGTGGCTTCTCAAGCTTTTAGTTAATTGCATTTTTCCTCATTCTGGACAAAATCTAATAAGAATAAATCTTTTTGCCATATCTGACTTTTTCTTAATATTCCTATTTCATTTTACTCACCCCGTAGTCCTCTGCGGTAATGCCAAGTTGATGTTATTATCTCCATTTTCAAATGAGCAAATATATGGGCATGCAAGATAAAAATTAAGCAAGAACACATACTGAATTGTAAGAAGCTTGGAACTAGACTTTGGAACTCTTCACCTTTGACTCCTTTTTAAAATTTTAATGATTGCTTGACTTTTATTTTTTTTTTTTGTATTGAGTCCAAGTCTCATCCTGTCACCCAGGTGGGAGTGCAGTGGCACAATCACAGCTCACCACAGCCTTGAGTTCTTGGGCTCCAGCAATCCTCCTTCCCTAGCCTCCCAAGTAGTTGGGACTATAGGTGAGCACCACTACGCTCACCAAATTTTTTATTATTTTATTTTTTGTAGATACAAGATCTCACTATGTTGCCCAAGCTGGTCTTGAACTCCTGGGCTCAAGCAATCCTGTCCTGGCCTCCCAAAGTGCTGGGATCACAGGCATGAGCCACCACACCTGTCCCTTTGCTTGACATACTAATCTACAAGAACAAATTTATTGAGGTTTTATTAGGAGTAGGCTGAGCTGTTAGGTGTTTTCCTTCCTTGAAGACTTGAGACAACACTTTCCTTTTTGAGGAGGGTCACTCTATATCTTTTATTTAAGCACACTGGATATGCTGTCTGTCTTGTCCCAAAGCCTTATCGTAGACAGTGATAATTTTGCAGTTATCATTCCGGATTTTTTTTATATTGGAAGGATTAGACTGAATCCATTGACTAATCTTAGGATCACTGAAAGTAAATGATCAGACATCATGTGCCCCCTGATGTGATGTAATAGGAGATACGTAGCACCAAAGATGAAATATTCTTATCTAAGAAACAGAGGCTTGGCTGGATTTACTCATTTTTTTTTTTTTTTTTTTTTTTTGTCAGAGTCTCACTCTGTTGCCCAGGCTGGATACAGTGGCATGCTGATGGCCACTGCAGCCTTGACCTGCTGGACTCAGGCGATCCTTCCACCTCAGCCTTTCAAGTAGCTGGAACTACAGGCATGTGCCATTACACCCAGCTAATTTTTTTGATTTATTATAGAGACAAAGTCTTGTCATGTTGCCCAGGCTGTTCTTGAACCCACGGGCTCAGACAGTCCTCTGGCCTCTGCCTCCCAAAGTGCTGGGATAACAGGTGTGAGCCATCGTGCCCAGCAGATTCACTCTTAATCTAACTTTGAGTTTCCAAGAAATACAGAAGATAGAGGGACAAATTAAAATGATGCCATGAAGAAACAACCAGCCAGGTATAGAATATGGGACGTTCCATGTGACAAGTGTACTGTTTTGTTCAGCGAGCAGTGGCATGAAAGAAGGGAACTGTTGGAGAATAAGACTTAGGAGGACAAGAAAGCAAGCATGTGCCTATAGGAAGTTACTTGTGACTAGTGTGAATAGCCCTGGGAGGCAGCATGGAGGATCAGGAAAGGCTTTCAGGATGTGTGTGTGTTTTGCAGGAAGTATGGCAGCTTTTGGGGTCAGTCTTGAGATTGTATCCTAGCTTCACTGCTTTCTAGTTATGTGGTCTAGTTGTGTGATCTCTGAACAGGTTTTTACAATTCTTTAAAAAAAATTTTTTTTTGTAGAGACATGAGGTTTTGCTATGTTGCCCAGGCTTGTCTCAAACTCTGGGCTCAAGTGATCCTCCCACCTCATCCTTTAAAATTCTTACATTTTCTTCATTTTATTATTATTATTTTTTGTTGAGTCAGGGTCTAAGTCTCTTGCCTAGGCTGGAGTATGGAGTACAGTGGCACAATTGTGGCTCACTGCAGCCTCAATCTAGGCTCAAGTGGTCCTCCTGCTTTAGCCTCCTAGGTAGCTGGGACTACAGGCTGCACCACCACTCCTG